GATTATCTTCTTTGGGAAGTTATTCTCTCGGACAAACTAGGGTCACATAAGAAAGCCTACGTGAAGGCTGTTCGAAGGCACAAATATTCACTTGATACACATCAACTTTTAGCAGATGCTGGATATGCACCTAAAGTCTTTGCTAGTTCGATTATACCTGGAAATTGGTGTTTAGTATATATGGAATACCTGGACAATCATTCAATGTTACATCGCGTCGTTCTTGATGACCAAGAACAAGGTTATTTAAGAAAGAGGATCGAAAATGTGGTTAAGTATTTGCATAACTTGGGACATGTGCATGGTGATTTACGTGAAGGAAACATTTTAGTTAGTAGACTTAAAGAAAACGATTTTGATATAAAATTGATTGATTTTGAATGGTCAGGGACAATTGGTTCTGTACGTTATTCTCATTTTATAAATCATAAAAACATTCAATGGCCGGATGGAGCAGAAGATGGTAAAATAGTTATAAAGGATCATGATATCTTTATGCTAAATCAGACACTTCAAGCAACAAATTTGCTATAAGATCGAACGAATAATGAAATCTAAAATGATTTAGTAAAGAGGGTGGATCGAATAAGTGATATATCGTAATCTAATATGTTATTTAGTGGTGTAATCGCATTGAGGCTATTAGTTACAAGACAATGTAACAAACTGAAACTTTTTTGTAGTATTGCGAAATTATATTTGATATGCATGTAGAGCAGGTCTTAGCAAATGTAAATTTTAAAGCTAATATAGTCAGACCCCCTAAATGCTACCCCCTAAGCGCATGTCCTATGAAACACCTCCATAAATGCACGTCTTCTCTTGGGCCCAATTAATATTACATCTATAGATTTTTACCTCCCTAAATGCAATACCTCTCTAAGTGCATGTTTAACGAAATTTTTATATATGGTCCCGTCACATTGCATTTAGGGAGGTCTGATTGTATAAGATTTTGCATATGCTCATGCTTGTCACTAACATCCGTAGTATGCCTCTACCTGTAGGTACAGAAGTTCTGGTCTAAAAAGCGGGAATGGTAAATAGCCTGAAATGACCTCAATGACTCAAATACAAATGACTAGTCATTTGTCATTAAAAGGTCCAAATAACCTTCAAAGGTTATTTAACAGATGTTAATATTCTAGCACCTTTTAAAAAATCAGGATAATCGCCAAACAAAATTATATTTTATAAAAATATAATTAATAATCGTATCTATACATATAAATCGAAATTTTATTAGGTCAATTAATATTTATATCTTAATTTGTTCGGGATGATAAATTATATTGTTTTGAAATTTTTAAATAAATTTAATAATTTTTTGTTAATTCACTTTCGCATTTTACGTTTTTGTGAAAAATTTTTAAATTTTTTTGCGTAAACGTAATATGCGAAAGAAAATTAATAAAGTTATTTATTTTGAATAGAAATTTAAAATGCATGCAATTATTATCCTTAACAACTTTATTTAGGGCATAAATATTAGTTGCCTTAGTAAAATTTTAATCTTAGTATATAGCTATAATTTTAATCAAAAAAGTAATAAAAGAAAGCTGATGACCAAGAGGTCATCTTAATACCAAAAAAAAGAAAAGTAATAAAATTTAATAACTTTTATATAAGCAATTAATCTAATAAAATTACTTTATATGCAAAAACACAAAATGAACTTTATGATTCAAATAACTACTTTACTGAACTTGCCAAATTTGCAACTTTAATGTAACTTGTAATTAGCTATAAAGTAGCTATATAGTTACTTTATAGTTACTATAGTTTTACATTTACTTCAAGTTAGCAATACGTCTACTACTGCTTACTACTATTTTACTATTATTTTACTGCTACATTACTATATTTTTACTACAATTTTATAAAAAAAATAAAGTTTCGAAACTTTTTATTTTTATTTTTTTTATAAAATTGTAGTAAAAATCAGTAATGACAAATGACAAGGTCATAAAAATTTTTATGAAAATAACCATAAATAACATGTTATTTTAAAATAACAATATCATTTATTATAAAAAATTTTTATACAAAACCATAGCAAAATGACAAGTCATAAAAAATATTTTTATAAATGATATTAAAATGACAAATAAATAACAATAATATTAATACTCTTATGTATCTTTATTCATATGAGATTTTAAACCTCTTTGAGAGTCATTATTCCTCATTGAGGTTTATTAACCCTTGTTTAGAGTATTAGTTACCCAACTATACTATAAACTATACCAAAATAAGAAATATATAAAATATTGATAAAATAATATAACAATGCATGATCCTAGCTGGTGGTTTCTCACCTGCATAATGCAGGCTGGCTGTAATTTTAAAATTTTTGAAAATTTCAGAATTCTATAGGCTGGGTGCAAATATAGCCAGCTACTTTTCTAGAGCTGCCATTGGGCCACCTTGCTACTATTCACCTTCCTTTGCATATTGCTAGTCTATAAAATTTATATAAACTATAAATGACAA